TTCACAATAGCATTATCCTGCCAGAAACTTTAATATCCTCTAATATTGAAACTCAGCTTGAAATTACTCTTGAAGAGGCCTCCGTCTTGTATACATGCTTATTTGAAACGATGAATACGGATCAGCCTTAATACTCGAATGATCCAGTTATTCAATCGGAACGTTTACTGCCGCCTGATCGACACCTGCTCTTAGTTTCTGTTTTGCTGACTGTAAGCGTATTAAGCTTATGACACTTGGAAGCTACTTTGCCTTGGATTACGCTGATCCCCTTCGAGAGCCTTTAACTTTTATCTAGGACATCAAAAACTCGAATGGGTGGCTCGATGATCAACATTTTTCTTTTTTTTCTTTTTTTTTTTTGTAATAATCAAATTCTGTGGAGGATGCACGTAATTTTGCTACAGAAAGTGATCCTTCTGGGAGAAGTAGCAGACACTGGGAAACGTAAAAACGTTTCCGGCATACTTCATCCGGAATACTTATGATCCCGCGGGAACGACTCGATAACTTTATCGTTCGTTCGGATCAAGAGCTCGTACATTTGGTATGTTTCAACGGTAACGGAAGAATCATCGAAGCGATGATTTTCTTTGCGTCATTTCGAATCGTTTTTTAAATCAGAACTCTGCCAAATATTATTTTATTTGAAAAATTCTTTTCGAATTTTCAAGCTTGAACGATGAATTTTAAAATCGAGTTCCCAAGACGAAAAAATCCCCGAATATCGTCATAAAATATGGATCTTTTCCTGTAAATTGGAGGAGGACATAGGCTGATAGGATTATTTTTCACGGAGTTACGTCGTTTTGAAAAGTGTCGATACTGCGACCAGCAGTAGGGATAGTCGTTTGGGATAGGCATGCAAAGGGCCGGGCGTCGGAAGTCTCGGTTTTGTTCGTACGGTTTGTCGCGTATTCATGGCGTCTGTCATCGGTACTCGGTGAAATTCCGAGGAGCGACGAGTTGGCGGAAAGTTTTATTTACTTTAAAAAACGCGGCGCCAAGGATCCTTGAGCCAGCGCGAGGAGCAAATAAAGTTCTGGCGAGATAGCGAAGTAGAGTCGGTTTGTGAGAAAGGGAAATGGTGAAAAAAAAATCGGGAACCAGTTTAAAAAGTCTAATTATCCTGGCGATCCCACCACCTATCCAAACCATTGCCGCCCCCATGGTTTTCTGAAAAACGAAGAATAATTTTGCTCGACATAGTGAACCTCTAATTTAAAAATTAGGACCTCGTTAGATACCCATATTGTCTTCTTCCCTAAGGATGACCAGCACGCTGGTCAGTGTGGATATTAACATAGTAACCTCCGTGACATGTATATAATATAATATATGTAATACGGTGGTCGAATATGTCGAATATTCGGTACATACCTGTACGCACCGAAGCAACGATATTAACGTGCAGCAAGCATCGATATGGGCGGTGGGTAATATTCGAGGATGCCGAAAGCACGTTCGAGCGATCGATCTCTTGGTCTGGCCCTGCCGCTTAGGCGAATCTTACACCAACACAGTAACTCGTGCCGGTTGCATTCGAGCTTGAACGTCGCCAGGAAGAGAGGCACAACTTCCCTTTGGAAGAGGATAAGGGGTTGAGGAGTGATTGAGAGAAAGAGAGAGTGAAGGAGGGTGGCTCTCTCAGTAGGTATCTCAAGTTACGATTGCCCTGGGGGCGTGCACAGAAGTGCAAAGCAATCGTTTCCCAGCTCGACCCCACGGCTATAGGTTCTTCTAGAAATGGTTACGTATCGAAATACATACGCTCGCTACTTTCTTCCAGCTCTCGTTACATCAGACCTATCTATTCCCATGGAATTCCATGAAACTGGAACTATCATGATTTTTCCAAACCATTATCGAATTTTTTTCGGAGAAACTATCAAGTAAATTCGTATCTTAAACTACACGAAAATATTTTTGGGTCTTTTGTACTCGTGAAAGTGGCAGAGTTACGGCTGCCACAAAATGGCTACCTTTATGGAATGTAGATTAAAATACCTATAATAGATTTTTTGCTAGCTTGATGGTTTTTCCAGAAGAAAATAGTTAAAGGTGGATTTGATGTTGTGGCAATTACATGGGAAGAAAATTGAAACAGCCAACGAGTTTCTCGGAGGTTCGAGAAGGTTTATCCGCTTGTTTTCTTGCGGGAATTTATGGGAAAGTGCAAAACAGTTGTTCTCGGTGGATTTATGGCTGTAGATTTGTTGCGGGGAAAGTCTGTCGGTGATATATCGAACATCGGAAAGGGTACTGTCATAAATAAAAAAAAAGAGCGTGAATTTTTTTATGCTGGTGAACCATCAGGAAAGAAATATCATTTTTTTTTTAAGTTAAAGTTAAATTCCTAAATTCAAAAATTGTGGAACAAATATCGAATCTCCATCACTCCCCGTATCAATATTTCTTTTTATAATTTTCACATTGTTAAAGATCAAGTTAGGTGATCTTAAAGGATATACAAAAAGGGCGTGAATTCTGTTGAATAACTGACGTCTGCGCGGTGGCAAAGTGGTTACGGAACGAACTAGTCAGACAGCAGGTCGAATTCTGCGGCAAACAGGGAGTTCCATTGAATTTAATCTTATTACGATTACCTTAGTTTCCTCGTAACAGGCACAAGCTTGAAAACAAAGTAATTGTCTGGTCGATATGAGGCTTCGTGATATCGGTTCTCCTCTAAATGTATCGGAACACGAGCGAAGGTTATCTTGTAGTTTCCAGACTGAAATTGCAATTTCTCCATCTTCGTTATTTAAGAGATCGTCTGTTGCAATAGAAGCTTACGATTCAACGCGTACCCGAGAAAATCAGTATTTAAATAAAATAGTTCGCGATATTGAGTGATTGACAGTGAACATGTTAACAGAAGATACAGGTGTGAGATTGTAATCCTGAAACATCAGATTATCCTAGAAACCTTAGACCCTTCAGAGAAAGAGATTCTCGTTACATTCCACCCCTTGCTCAAATTACAACGTGAAAACGTACGACTTAGGAATCCATTGAACTTGAATGTCTTCTCTTGATTTGTTGACTTTCGGAAATTTCTGGACTTTTCAGATTTTGAACTAGGGTTTGTAGTAGGGAGAGAAAAAAGGCGTTACACGTCTCGGGATCCGTCTAGCGTCTGTCAGACTCGTCCGTCAGTGGGGCTATAACCCCGTTTTTCGGTACTCCTACATATGTATATCCGAATCGCATGCCGGGGGACCGCCAGCGAGAACAGACACAATCCCGCTGCCACCTGGCGGTCGTCGACCCGACCTAAGGACGTCCGGGGAGACTCGTCGTCTTCCCTCTCTAACCTGTAGGCGTGGGTCCACCATCATTATAAACGATCATTTCAAGGTGGATTCCTGATGGCCCCTAATAGTTGAAGACTTTGGAGAAAATCTATCGGATGCCAGAGAATGGTCTGTAGAAAAAAATGCCGAGATCTCGGTCGCCCATCATGGTCCTATATACCGAATACTTGGAATAGAATTCCGACAACATTCTTGACGTCCATGACGGAGCCATCGAATTAACGGTGTGTGTACGAAGCGGCTTGCCATCCATTGGGATCGCTTTCTCTGCACCAGTTTGCTCTTACATAGCTGCGGTGGTGTCAGTTTTGCAGCTTTCTTCGACAACTATTCCGAACTCTCCGGCTTTCCTCGATTACATCGACTTCCAGCTGATTTTCTTTGCTGACGAATTCCAACGTGCACCATCGGAATCTTCATGCACAATGAGCTAGGATTTTGCCTGCTAAGGGTGACAATGCCGATACGTTGTATTGTTGCGGATGGTGAGAGATGGTACATGGTAATATCTCAATAACGTGCGGGTAACAGTAATTCGATCGTCGCCATTTACTATTCCTACCGTTTCAATGCTAGACTCCGAATTGTCTCCCCTTAACGCGTTGACTGGCTCACGCGAAATTGACGTCATGTGAGCATAGGGATTATTAATTCTAATTACTAGAGAAGTAATTAGATAGAGAATTTAACAGGATTTCATGTCGGAAAGAAATTTCAAAATGACGCTAGTGACATATCAAATTAAAGCTCAATTTTTGTACCAATCTTTCTTCGGAACGAAAGAAAATTGTCCATTTAATGCTCTGACAATGAGTGAAAAATCAACCCAAAAGAGTGGTTGTGTAAATAAAACAATGGATGATTTTGTAGTTGTACTTGCAAAAAAACAAATTTTACCGCGGTTACTTGAGAATACCATCGGAAAGAATAGGTCGAGCAAGAAGATACCGTTCCTTCAAAGATTCAAGATTACCGCTATAAGAAAGTTTAGCGAACGAATGCAGCAGTTTGGCCAACTGAATGCGAAATCACCAGGATGCATAAAACATCGCCGACAATTATTCTTATTACATGCTATCGTCTCCGACGATGATGCCGCTTTTTGCTCGTTCGCTACTTGATTCCCCGTGCTTCTTTTAATCCTCGAATAATTCCCTGAAGAAGGGAGAAAAAAACTTGAAACCAGGAAACTTTGGTCTTTATCGTTGCTTATTTGTTGTTTGAAACGGGAGGCGAGACTTGAAAAGTCCAAGTTTCGTGGAACATCGGTAACGAACAAAGATCGCGTTTCAATGGTCCAGTCGAAGGGAAATTCTTCTTCTTTTTTTTCTTTTTTTCTTTTTTTTTTCTGTAAAAGAAAAAAGAGGCCACGAAAGAAGCGATCGATAAGCCTGTCTTTTCCTTGCGAACGAGCAAAGGAGATCCTTTTGAATGAAAAGTTGCTCCGATGAATTAAATTAATTAAAAACATCCGAAAAGTTAGCCATCGCTAGTTTACACTAATTAAAAACAATTTTTAATGCATTTATTAAAATTTCAGAGTGACCCGTACCTGTTTTTTTTTTTTTTCTCATCCCTGTCCTATCTTCTCCATTTTGTCTCAAGTGTAACTCGATGCTGGTTCCTGAAAATCCCCCACGGCACTAGATCAACCTAACAAGCGTCTCTGTGGTTTTGTTTCAGATGAATCACCAGGGCTGTTGGTCGGATTCGCGGCTACCGGTGAGTTTTCATTGACGCCAGTAGCTATTTAGGCCTGAAGGAAAGTTTCGAAGGGTCGAGTTGGTTGACCCCGCGTGTCGCGACCCTCGTGTGTCGGATATCTTGAAAATCTCGTCAGGGCGTGGTGTGCAATCATCGTCTGCCATGACTTCCCTACCACTCGAATGCATCCACCAAGCCAAACTTTCCCCTCCCTTCATTTTCTTTTCACCGTCACGTACAGCCAGTCCGATTAATGGCAAATGGCGGTAACAATAGCCAATGCTTCGTACTAGTCGTTCTGGTTGCATTTATGAAATATATAGGGTGTACGTATTTAACATGGAGAGCTTTCGATCTTTTATCTAGGATGTTTCATTATAGGACAAGGATTAATAAGTTCCTGCCCAAATGAGTAAATCTACCAGAAAATTTCATATATGTAAAATGTCCCCAGAGAGGCAGGGGGTATCGTTGAAGATTTCCTCGACGCAAAAAAGAAAAAAGGTGTCTGAGGCAGGGATCGTCTGTTGTCAGCCCCACTGACGAGTCTGACAGACGATTCCAGTATCGTACAATTTTTTCCCATAAAAGTAGTCATTTGCATAGCCATATAGGTATGTACTTATCCTCTTTTCTGCTCGCATACAGAGTGTTCGCATTAATATGGAAAAATTTCTGAGTGAACTTCTGGTTATTAATTATTCTCAGAGCACCCAGTATAATACTGGTTTCGCGTTCTTAATACACGCGTACGTGTAGCAGTGGTCGGTTTATCGCCAGTTCCTCGCACCCTTGATATAGAACATTGTGTGCGTGGTACACCGTGCACATGCGTCTCCTATGATCTATGCGCCTCCATTTGGCCACGTACTCTCGTGTGTAGCCTTGTTCCACGTCGTGTACAGATCCGTCGGGGGTGTGTACTGTGTACATATCCATATGTGTGAGCGAATTATTGTTATCACCTTGGGCTTCTCTAAATTTTCAAGACGATGAAGAACACCTATGGAGGTTGCGGTTAGATACATTGATGTATGCACTTCGCGACGAAGAGGGAATACACGGGTGTTTAGCATTGTTGAAGTTGGCTAGCATAAAGTTTGCACTTGTGTGCGTGATTGCGTGCTCGCTTGCACCCAGACGACGAGACCCTTTGTACTTGGGATTCGATGAAGCTGCCTTTGCGCTAGCAGAGACACGAGCCAATCAATCCCCATCTGCTTCGTCTTCCCCAACGTGCGCTACATCCCCAGAATTTCGATGATCTTCGCCTGGAAACAGATTTATCTCGCCTGCTACCTTTCCACTTCTGCACCATCGATTCTATGGGGATCGGCTCACCCTGTGTTGTGTGTATTTCTATCTCGGTCCGTATTCTTGTTCCGCTCCACTTCGATGCAACAAGATTTCGATGAGTGAACCACTCGTCAGGGTCACGGTTTCCAGGCCTTTTATCGCGGTTGATCCGGCGCGGCGTGGCGCGGCGTGTCAGCGACCGATAGCCAGTCGTAAAAGTTAAATAGCTTTTTTTTCCCAGTATCCAACTGTATTATCGGTCTTATCTCAAAGGGAGCGTCGTTAATCTTGGAGGAGGCCAGATTGGGGTTACCAGTTGGGACGAAGGTTAAGGTCGGCCCATCAGATCGATGGAACACGGCGTTAACGGAAAATCGCCTAATTTTCACGACCCCTTCCCTTATCTTATCTTATTCCGTGATTGGACTGCCTCCTGTACAGATACATAGGGTGTCCTTTAATTTATATGTCCTATTTCATTTTATAAATTACTCCGGAGATACAGTAGACTTTCTTTATATGTATTGCCATACGAGCGATTTGACTTTCACGTGAATTTTTAAGCACCACCATAGCCTATGAAAAAGATACACCCCATCGGACAACACATACACGCCAAATGAAAACTATAAAGCTTGACAAATTTTCCGAGCGAGAATCTATTGTAATAAGTTAAATTACATATGGTGTCTGTGTCAAAAGTCACGCAGGTGTCTAATTGCGTGTGGTTGCGGTAAACCTGCAGATCAGTGTGCGGTGACCCCACCCTTTCGACCGCGAAAAAGGAGAAACAACCGCACGAATGACCTCGTAAAATTCAACGGATTTATGTCCCTGTTGGGCAACATGGCTTCCGTTTGAAGGAACGACCGGATGTGCTGGGAATGAACATTTTGAAAGCTCAACGTTAGTAATTGTAAAGAATCTAACATCCGTTAATTTAACCCACGGAACGACCCATGAATCAATCAATTAATTGTCCGCAAAGCTTCTGAAATTATTAAATCTATCGCTTTGTTGCCTGTACCCCTCCCAATCGAGCAGTTTGTTCAGGTAAATAACCTTACGATAGCTTTCGATTGTCTCGGGTCATACGCGAACCTTTCTACCGTCGAATCGTTGGAACGAAACGAGATACGCTAATCTTGTTACTTTGGGAACGATGTATCTGTCAATCGTCGCAAAGGGACATCCTCTTTCTTTTTTTTTTTATTTATTTTTTTTTTTTTTTTTCATTTTTTTGAACGTGCAGCCTGTTCGTAGTCAAAGCAAAGCAAGAGTCACACCGTAAACGCTCGCCTGCTCGTCGAGAAAATCACATTAGTGATGTTTCGGTAATCGCTTTTATATCCAGCCTCGGTGACTGACAGCCATGGCACAATCAGTTTTTGTCGCGAAAAATTGGCTCGCCTTGCGGATCCGACTTTTGTACTTTCCGTTACAGTGATACCCAGTTCAAAGGGAGTGAAACTTGACCTCTGTGCTTTTTTTACAAGGTTCAGTAACCATAAAAGACATTGTTTTTTTTTCTATAGTTACAGTCTAGTCTGAAATTTGAATCAGGTAATTTGCGATAAAAAATGGAGGCAACCATCTACTCGGAAATGCACCCTTATTTCTTCTTCTTTGGGGCTGGTTTTCAAAGGAAACAATATGTATAATTCAGCGGCGAAGTTGCTTCAGAGAGTGCATGAATATGTATATTTAACGCAACCTATACCCCTCATCATTCCACACTTACGCTATGTGCTATTCTTTCACGATAACCATTATCCTTTTTATACCGATCGAATTGACGGGTAATTGAAGCGCAGATGACGTGACGACGAGTATCTGGCGTCGCTCAAATTAGGTTAGCCAACTTCCGACTATCGCGTTTTTTTACTCACTCCGGATTGACAGTGTCGAGGCAATTGAGTTTGGTATTGACAAAAAGATATGGCGATGGACATTGTCAGGTGTCAAGAATCTTGATATTTGATTCTTCAATAAAATCAGAAATTATAATTTTTTTCCGGTTTTTTGAATTATGGATTCGTCCGAAGAGTTGACGTAAAAATTTTGTCAAACTGGATCTTAGCAATTTTTTCTTCCATTATATTGAAACTTCAACATTAAAAAAATTATTAATCGTAAAAAATTACAGATGCAGCAAGCTTTGGTAAAAAGCATCTCTTTGTTTATAAATACATTTTGGAATGGATCGGTTTCTGTGAAAAACAAATTTCATTTTATTCTCAGTAATTCTTCTAGTTTTATTTCGTTCGTTTGAAAACTCATGGAAAATACAATTTTTTACGCTTTTTTTACAATGGTTCGTTACAAAAGTGTTTTTAACGATGAAGGAAAACTTTTACTAATAATTATTGTAGCTTGAAATGTGAGCTTTGTGGAATAAAAAAAAAACTCTTTTGATCTTTCGCTAAATAGAAAAGGAAGAATTTCCAAAAATATTTAGCAAAAACGAAATTTTCGAATCCTTAATAAAATAATGTTGTTTGCAAACATTAACGTGATACCTTGTAAAGCACAAGTTTTCTGTTTAAAAGAATTATTATACTCTGTGGTGGTAAATTAATAAAATGATTACGTTCCCCTGTATATTTTCTGGGATACAGGGAAGTAGTATAATAATTTAGTCCACGCACGCGCACGTGTACACACACGTATAACTTCTGTAAATTATAAGATCCCAAAATCCCCGAAATAATCGGAGGAAGCATCTACGAAGAAACCCTCGTAACTCGGAACTCAAGAAGTATGTATAATAATTTCTAACGAGTATCCATAAACTTGCTTAAACAAAATTAACTTTTATTAATTGCACTAGAAATATCGTCAGATATAAGAGAAATAATATTCTTTTTAATATTACAAATAATTCTGTTGATTTAAAACATTATATTCTATATACACAACATTTTACCAACAGTCAGACAAAATAATTTTAGCATAAATAATAAAAATGATATAACACTTGGCCTGGCAAGAACGCCATTGTAAACTCCACTTTTTACAGCAGCTCGTCCATCAAACTGACACACGTAATTACCCTCAAGGAAGTCGTACATTACAGATTAATGGAAAACAGATGTTCCGCTGGTAGTACAAGACATTCAGATATGCTGGAGCTTATTATAATGATTCAAAGCAGCATTCCTTCGATTATTATACTAGTCGTCGTATTTGTATCCGGTGTATAAGGCGGGTGTACTTTCAGGCCCATGTTGTTTTGTAGGGGGGCGAGGAACACAGCCTGCTTAAGAGACTGTTTCACTGTTTCTGGCCCCTATGAACAGGCATAGGCTATTTATCCAATGTAAACTCAACTTAAGGTCTAATAAAATAATATTTTAGACGCCTCCAGGCCGAGTTTACAATGTAGAAGCAGCTGGGCCAGTGGGTCCTGGCAAGGTCTACCGAACCCTGGCTACCTGCGCAATGTAAACTTAACTTTAGACTGAATTTACACTGGCAAAGTAGTCTGGTTTAGTAGCCTCTGCTAAAACCTCGGGGTGAGGAAGATAATCTGCCTGGCAGGTTCCTTCCCTCTTCCTTACTTCCAGATCCTGGACTGGCTACTTGTCCAATGTAAGCTCGACCCTAATGCGACATCACGTTTATAAAGATATATATCATCTGGTTAAAAAAGAAGTATATGGGTGGTGACCCTTAGTTAGGTGACAGCCATTAGGCCAATGGGGAGGAGGAATTCGTCTGAG